TGGAATTCTCTGAATTTCTGAATTTCTGAATTTCTGAATTTCTAAATTTCTGAATTTCTGAATTTCTGAATTTCTGAATTTCTGAATTTCTGAATTTTTTAATTTCTGAATTTCTGAATTTCTGAATTTCTGAACTCATGAATTTCTGAATTTCTGAATTTCTAAATTTCTGAATTTCTGAATTTCTGAATTTCTGAATTTCTGAATTTCTGAACTCATGAATTTCTGAATTTCTGAATTTCCGAATTTCTGAATTTCTAAATTTCTGAATTTCTGAATTTCTGAATTTCTGAATTTCTGAATTTCTGAATTTCTGAATTTCTGAATTTCTAAATTTCTGAATTTCTGAATTTCTGAATTTCTGAATTTCTGAATTTCTGAATTTTTTAATTTCTGAATTTCTGAATTTCTGAATTTCTGAACTCATGAATTTCTGAATTTCTGAATTTCCGAATTTCTGAATTTCTAAATTTCTGAATTTCTGAATTTCTGAATTTCTGAATTTCTGAATTTCTGAATTTCTGAATTTCTGAATTTCTGAATTTCTGAATTTCTAAATTTCTGAATTTCTGAATTTCTGAATTTCTGAATTTCTGAATTTCTGAATTTCTGAATTTCTGAATTTCTGAATTTCTGAATTTCTGAATTTCTAAATTTCTGAATTTCTGAATTTCTGAATTTCTGAATTTCTGAACTCCTGAATTTCTGAATGAAAATTCTTAAAATTATCTAGGAATTCCCAAAAAAAAAACCTAGAGATTTTGAGAAAAAAAGGCTGGAAATCCTGAAAATCTGAATATTCTGGATTATGAATTTTAAAACGTTTTTGAATTTCCAAATTTCAAAATTCTACAATTTTGAATACCATTTTTCTTCGAAAATTCAAATGTTCTCTTTTAAAAATTCATGAAAAAATTTTGATTTCAAATGCCAGTAGCCCTTTTTCAATAAAAATTTCAAAACTTTTTTAAAGAAAAAAAAAACAAAAAACTGAGAAAAAATGTTACCGTAAAACCTGTAATAGAAGGACCCCTAAGTGTTAACTTTGAGCCAATTTATAATAGGCTACTGATAAAGGTATGAAAAAAAACTGATAAAAATTTTATCATAATATCAGTAACATTTTTTTCCAGGAAAAATTGTTTATCGTAATATCTTATACATTTTATCAGTTGACACATTTTTGATATCTTTCACAAGAGCTGAGATAATTGAGCTCGAACTTGTCAGTGAGGGGGCCCTTCTATCACAGGTTTCAGGGGTTTTTTTTGTTGATTTTTCAAATTCTCAGAATTTTTTATAGATGCCAAAAGTTCACCGAAAATGCTCTAACCCATTGTTCAATTTGAAATTCCCCCCTGGGGAGTTTCTACAGTAATCCCAAATGTTGTTATTTATGTTAACCCTATATCATGCCCCCCCCCCCCCATTTGATGTTATGCATAACTCCTGTCACTTTTTTCCATTTTTTTCCAGGAAAAATTGTTTATCGTAATATCTTATACATTTTATACATTTTATCTGTTGGCACATTTTTGATATCTCTTATAGGGGCTGAGATAACTGAGCTCAAACTAATTGTATCCAAAACTTTTAAATTTCTCCAAATTTTCTAATTTTTCAGGAGTTTCTTATTCCCTAGGGTCTTTTTAAAGACCCCAGTTCATTAATGGACCTCCTAGACTTTCCGAAATTTCTTCTTGATTGACCCAAAACCCCTTTTTTCCTTTCTTCAAATTGAAATTAGTCCAAAAGACAGAAATTAGCTTTAAAAGTCAAAAACCCTCAAACTTCTGGGGCTCGTTTTTTTTTGTTTATTCACAAATTTCCAAAATTTCAAAGTACTCTTTTTCCTTCTTTTTGGGAGGAATTAAAAAGTGTAAAATATGGACCAGAAACTTTCTTTTTTGCCATTTTTTATAAACATTTTCTTTTTGGAGAGGCTCTTTCTATATACATATAGAATGTGACAAGTTGACTGTTCGGAAAAAAGGAAATTCTGGAAAAAATGGAAAAAAGTGACAGAAGTTATGCATAACATCAAATGAGGGCGATGATATAGGGTTAACATAAATAACAACATTTGGGATTACTGTAGAAACTCCCCAGGGGGGAATTTCAAATTGAACAATGGGTTAGAGCATTTTCGGTGAACTTTTGGCATCTATAAAAAATTCTGAGAATTTGAAAAATCAACAAAAAAAATCCGAAAACCTGTAATAGAAGGCCCCCCTCACTGTCAAGTTTGAGCTCAATTATCTCAGCTCTTGTGAAAGATATCAAAAATGTGTCAACTGATAAAATTGTTATCAGTTTTTTTCATACCTTTATCAGTAGCCTATTATAAATTGGCTCAAAGTTAACACTTAGGGGTCCTTCTATTACAGGTTTTACGGTAACATTTTTTTTTCTGTTTTTTGTTTTTTTTTTTTCTTTAAAAAAGCCTTAAAATTTTTTATTGAAAAAGGGCTACTGGCATTTGAAATCAAAATTTTTTCATGAATTTTTAAAAGAGAACATTTGAATTTTCGAAGAAAAATGGTATTCAAAATTGTAGAATTTTGAAATTTAGAAATTCAAAAACGTTTTAAAATTCATAATCCAGGATATTCAGATTTTCAGGATTTCCAGCCTTTTTTTCTCAAAATTTCTAGTTTTTTTTGGAAAATCTAGATAATTTTAAGAATATTCATTCAGAAGTTCGGAAATTCAAAAATTCAGAAATTAAAAAATTCAGAAATTCAGAAATTCAGAAATTCAGAAATTCTCCCCAGGGGGGGAGGGAGGAATTTCAAATTGAAGAATGGGTTAAAGCATTTTTCGAAGTTTAGGAATCTATAAAAATTTTTGAAATTTTGAAAAATCAACAAGAAAACCCCTAAAACCTGTAATAGAAGGGCCCCCACACTGTCAAGTTTGAGCTTAATTATCTCAGCTCCTATGCGAGATATCAAAAATGTGTCAACTGATAAAATGTATAAGATATTATGATAAACAATTTATCAGTTGACCAATTTTTTGTATCTTTATCAGGAATCCAGAAAAATTGGATCAAAGTTGAAAATGGGGGGGGGGGGGCTTCTATTACATGTTTGTGCCAAAAAGAGTGAGGTTGGTAGTGCCAGATTTGACACTTTGATAATTTTGAAAAATGACGAAATAAATGATCAAAAATCTAGAATTTCCAGATTGATGTACTAGATAAATCCAAAAATACGAAGTGCAACATTTTTTGTTTTATTTTTCAAAAAAAAAAATTTTTCTAAAATTTCAAACTACCGTAACCCGCTAATTTTTAGCCGTAAACAGAAAATTTGCAAATTTTTCAAATCATTTCGCTGAGAGCTTCAAAATGAGTATAATCGTGCCATGTCTTCGAAAAATTTGAAAAAATCGATTTAAAGGCGCATGGTCCGGAAAAAGACTCGAAGATTTTAAAAATTGTCAGAAACGGGTCGTGTTTGGGATCATTTTAAAGCTCTCAATGAGCCAAACTCGAAAATTTAAGTTTTGAAGAAAATGGTTGGAAGGTTAATGGATTACTGTAGTTTGCATTTTTATCTGGAACAGATTTTAACGATTTCTGGTCCATTTTTGTTGATTTTTTGAGACGTAAACAGTTGAAATGGCTTAAAAATAGGGATGATTGAAGTGGGCGTGGCTTAGTGCATCTGGTTCAATCCTGCCCCTGGGAAGCTCCGCCCCCTTTTTAGCCCCTTAAGGTACCAAAAACCTTGTCATTTTTCACCAACCGAATCATTATTCTTATTGTCACTTCTCGTGTCCTCCCTCTCAAACTTTAAAATTTCAACTTTCTCTCTCTCTCTCGATTTCAAATATTACACCTTCTCTCTCCTACTTCACATCATCATCGTCTCTTTTCAACTCCTCTTCCGATTGATGTGAGAGGTCTCTTCGGAATGACATGACAGAGAGGTCCTGATGGGAAAAGATGAGCAATGGGTTTAGAGGAGAGAGAAGGAATCTATAAGTGATAATGTCCGTGTGTTATTATTGCCCCCACCTCAAAGATTTATGAGCAGGAGGAGGAGGAGGAGGCCTCTTGTGTCCCCAATTTTTTTTCTTTTTATTGTTTTATCTGAAAACCGAATATTTATTGTTTTTGATTTTAAAAAAATAGTAGTAGGTGTTTCTAGGTGTCAGTGTTTTTAGTATACTAGAATTTCAAAAACTTGTCCACAAATCAATTTTCTCTGGTTTAAAACAGTCTGACCATCATATTTTAGTTCGAAAATCACTGAAAAATGAAATCACTGAAAACTGAAAATCACTGAAAAATTTCAGCTTAAAATAGTTCGAAATAGTTCAAATGTTTAGATTTTTTGCTTTAAATGGCCTGCAAATTACGTTTTTCGACCTAAAATCGTCTGAAAATCATATTTTTGGTTCCGAAATGACTGGAAATTACCCACAATTTTGTGATTTTTGGCTTGAAATGTTCCAAAAATCACATTTATTGATATAAAAAATGGCTGAAAATGACCCCAAGAACAAAGTTTTTAGCTTGAAATGAGCCGAAAATTACAGGAAATTGAAAATTGTTTGAAATTCTAAATTTCCTAAAAGTTTCAGTTTTTCAGAAAATCCTTAATTTCTCTGAATTTTTGAATTTCTGAATTTCTGAATTTCTGAATTTTTGAACTCCTGAATTTCTGAATTTCTGAATTTCTGAATTTCTGAATTTCTGAATTTCTGAATTTCTGAATTTCTGAATTTCTGAATTTCTGAATTTCTGAATTTCTGAATTTTTGAATTTCTGAATTTCTGAATTTTTGAATTTTTGAATTTCTGAATTTCTGAATTTCTGAATTTTTTGAATTTCTGAATTTTTGAATTTCTGAATTTCTGAATTTCTGAATTTCTGAATTTCTGAATTTCTGAATTTCTGAATTTCTGAATTTCTGAATTTCTGAATTTCTGAATTTCTGAATTTCTGAATTTCTGAATTTCTGAATTTCTGAATTTCTGAATTTCTGAATTTCTGAATTTCTGAATTTCTGAATTTCTGAATTTCTGAATTTTTGAATTTCTGAATTTTTGAATTTTTGAATTTCTGAATTTCTGAATTTTTGAATTTTTGAATTTCTGAATTTCTGAATTTCTGAATTTCTGAATTTCTGAATTTCTGAATTTCTGAATTTCTGAATTTCTGAATTTCTGAATTTCTGAACTTTTGAATTTCTGAATTTACTGCTTGCTAAAATTCTGATCTTCCCTCGATTTTCGATCCCTCGCAAAACATAACTTTGCACCCTAATCCTCTTTTTTCTCTGGGTCCCTTTGGTCACCCAGAAGAACTGGGCGTGGCCAAGACGAAAAATGGGCGGAGCTTATTTTGGCGGCTCGCGTATGTGCTCACGAGAGTCTGCTGTGCTCAGTCTCTGTTAGTTTTGCGGTTGATTTCTGTTATTTTAAGGATTATTTTTATATTAGGGGCAACGTGGAAAATCTCAAAAAGGGTTTTCTGGAAATATTTTTTTTTCAATTTCCGGATTATTGGAATGTGTCATAATAGATCGAAAATCTCGTTTTTAATAGTTTTTTAAGTATTTCGCCCAATGAGAATCTTTCCTAATGAGATACTTTCTTAATAAGAATCTTTCTTAGTGAGAATATTTCTTAATAAGAAACTTTTATACTGAGAATCTTTCTTAGTAAAAATTGTTCTTAGTAAGTATTAAAAATACGTTTTTCTCATTTTTTTTGGATCCTGAAAAAAGGAATCTATAGTTTTTTGGACCACTTCCTGGGAAGGAATTTTCCGCATAATTTGAGGTGTCCACTGACCAAAAAAGATGGTTCCGTGAACCTTTAAAAATATTTTTGGCCCTTCTTTCTCAAATTTTTTTGTCTAGAATCTGGAAAAAATGTGTACGCCTTCTGGACATCCTCCTTCCCCTTCCCAAGACATCCCCCTTCCTGCTCAAATAAAATCAGATTAGAATTTCGCGTGTTGCCGTCTTCGCTACTATTGTCGTCGTCGTCACTTTTACGCTCTCTATGTCTCTTGTTCTGGAATTTTTTTTTTTTTTTTTGAATTTTTTTTCAAATTTCCGACTCAAACCTAATTATCTGAAGTTGTTTGATTCACAAAAAAGTTTGCGTTAATTTCAGGTTTTCGGAAATTCGCGATTCAAAAAATTTATGTCGCGATGAAATGGTGTTCTCGTTCATTCTTACATTTACCATCAGTGTTGTGGCTGCGTTTGATGATGGTTAGTTCTAAATTTTCTACAATTTTTGAAAATTGAAATTTTTCAAAATTGTCCTGTAGGAAAAAGAAATTACCTACATTTGGCTCCAAAAACCATCAAAAGCCCTTCAAAATTGAGAAAGTTATGAAGGTTTTAAAAAATTAGTAGTACAAAAATTGGGATGACTGAGAATTTGGAATTTTTTGGAATCTGACAAGTTGGAATTCTACATGGATTTCTTATTTTCAAAAGAATGGTTAAATTTCTTAAACTTTGGTGCAAAAATCATGAAAAAATGGTGAAAGCTAAGGAAGTTATAGTTGTTTTTAAATTTCAGTGGTGTAAAATTGTGGGAAGCTCCGCATTTGGGAATTTTTCAAATCTGAATAGTTATAAAATCTATATAGACTTATTCTTTTCTTAAAGTTCATCACATTTCCTACATTTCGGTATAAAAATCATAAAAGTAGCTTGAAAACTAAAAAAGCTATAATGATTTGAAATTTTGGAACTCAAAATTTTGAATCCAAAAATTTCAAAATTTCACAACTTGGTTCATTTTTGTTCGATTTTCATGAATTTTGCACTAAAATGGAGCTGATTTTGTGTTTTTTGAATTTTTTAATGCTTAAATCATCAAATCATCAAAACACTAAGAAATTTATAGGGATTTATAAGTTGAAGTGGGTTAAAAATGAAGTGACCTGAGAATTTTCAATTTTTGAATTTTCCAAAATTTGTTAATCTTTACATATTTAATATTTTCTGTGAGCTTGTTAAACTTGCTACATTTCGGTATAAAAATCATAAAAGTAGCTCAAAAACTAAAAAAGTTATAATAATTTGAAATTTTGGAACTCAAAATTTCGAATCCGAAAATTTCAAAATTTCATAACTTGGCTCATTTTTGGCCTAATTTTTATGAATTTCGCAGTAAAACTGATTGCGTGTTCTTTGTTTTAATTCAACTAAAAAACTTGAAATTCGGAAAAATAAACAGGAATTTTCAAATTTCAGAGCTATTCAAAAAATATCTGAAAATAATTTTTTTAAAATAAATTTTCTTTTCTGAAACTATTTTTCCATTTTCAGATTAGAACTTAAAAATCCAATTAAATTGTTTTGACACTTTTTTGTATTAAAAACCAAAAACCGCCAAAATCTATTTTTGGCTATTTTTCTCAAATTTGTTATTTTCAGACAAAACATTTTGCTTTCATATTTCTAAAATTGCCTTTTCCAAAAGTTCAAATCTTTTTAGATATTTGGCCAAAACTCAATTTTTCTTTTCAATTTCTTTCAAAAATCTAACAATAGTCATTGTGTCCGTGAAGCTGTTCGAGGCAAAACATAATTGCCTGGAATTTCTTCTTTTTTTTCTGAAAAAAAAGAGAAATTCAAAAAAAAGAGAGGGAAATTCGAAAATTGAATTAGTCACACTACTAGTTCCTGTCTAATATAACACCCCATCCCGGAATGAAGCAGCTCACCCTAATTCGATGTGTTTGCTTTTCAAGAAATCTTGAAAAGACGGATAAAATAAATTTTCAAAGTCAAAGATCTGAAAATTCGGGCTGAAATTTGTCTGAAAAACATATTAGCCCTCAGAGAAATTTTTCAAAAATTGGTTTAAGAACGAATTGCAAAATAATTTCAAAAATCAGTTATTCAGAGAATTCGGTGTTTCTTGAAATTTTCGAAATTGGAAATCCGGTACAAATGTGATATTTTCGAAAAGCTCATCAAATTTCCTATATTTTCGTATAAAAATCATTATAATACCATTAAAACTAAAAAAGTTATAACAATTTGAAATTTTGGAACTCAAAATTTCGAATCCAAAAATTCGAAATTCCATAACTTGGCTCATTTTGGGCCGATTTTTATGATTTTTACACCAAAATAAAGCAAATTTAGAGTCAAATTTACTTTTCTACAAAACAATCTCCAACAAACCCAAGTTTTTTTCAGAATGCGTGAAATGCGATCTACGCTCGTCGTACTGCAAAACATGGGAGAACATGACGAGGAGTTGCGAGTGTCGAGATGGTTTCGCGCGGATTTCAAATGGATCTTGTGCCAGTATGTTTAATGTTAGGAATCTAGAGCATTCTTCACATTTTGAGATAAAAATCACAGAAATTGGTGAAAAATGAGCAAAGTTATGCTAATTTGAATATTTTTAAGGCATTTTTTTTCAAAAATTTCAAAAAATTAAAAAAAAAATTTTCTCTAGTCCCTCTTTTCTCTAACTTTTTCAAAAATCTCATATATTTATCTCCTTAGGTATAGTTCATAGTAATATCCCGGATATATTTATGAGTACCTAGGAAAAGCAATATGACGAAAAAAAATTTTTTCTCAAGTGGAGAAGATTTTTTTTTCAACAAATAGAAAAGCAAATATCCATATATAAGGGGACCTTTTTATGTAAGATGTATATAAAAAAATATATATGTAAATCGTAAAAAAAATTAAAAATTAACAAATTCCAAGTTTCAGTGGTCAGCGACCTGGCAAGAGGTGGAATGGGAATGCCGCCGGATTCCGAGGAGGATGAGCCGTTTTGTGTACTTGGACAGGCTGAAAAGGCGGCAACCAGGTTTGAAAACACTTTAAATTTGAATTCAATTAAAATTTCCAAAAATTTCACTTATTTTGGTACAAAATTTATGAAAATCGGTGGAAAATGAGCCAAGATATGAGAAATTGAAAATTTTCTGGGATAAAAGACTTTTTTGGTTTTGTGAACGGATTATTACAACTTGAAGACAAATTTTTGTGTAGAAAATTATTATAAACAGTTTTTTTATTAAATTTGTCACATTTTGTTGCAAAATTCATAAAAATTAGGCAAAAATGAATCAAGTTATGGAACTTTGAAAATTTTGGATTCAAAAATTTGGGAACCAAAATTTCAAATTATCATAAATTTTTTAGTTTGTACGGTATTTATATGGTTCTTGTACCAAAATGTAGGAAATTCAATGAGCTTTTAGATAAAATTATGTTTCCAAAGATTACTATAATTTCAAAATTTGAAAAACTACGAGTTCTGTGTACACCCCCATTTTCATCCCAGAAGGTTTAGAATTCATAATTTTCTTTGTTTTTAACCGATTTTTTGGTGTTTTACAGGAATATATGATTTGAAAACTTGAATATCAGAAGATTCCCATCATTTTGATACAGAAAAAAACATGAAAATCGGTTGAATTTGAGTCCAGTTTCGAAGATTTCAAATTTTGCTGAAATTTGAAAAAAAATATTTTTTGCGCCAAAATTTTACATTTTTCATTTTTAAAGAAATAATGTATATCATCTAAAAGCTCTTAAAATTTCCCACAATTCTGTGTACTTTTCATAATTCTAGGTTTTTTTTCAAACGAGTTATGCACCTTTAAAGTTTTGAAGAGACGCAGTGAAACGAGAGTGCGCAAAATTAGAACGTGCATAACTCGGCTTAAAATTGCCCGATTTTATTGATTTTTGAACAGATTTATAGGAAATTCAAAGGGCTACATGGTCGTATAAATTTCTTCCCAAATTTTCGGAAATTTTATAACGGAAAAAATTGATTTTCGATTCTTGAATTTTTTTTCCACAACGATTCATGTTGGTTCCAAAGTACCTCCTAAAGCCAGAGGGTAATATGATCCAAATTCATGTCTGAACAACATTTTGAAATCTAATCCCCTTATTTTTCTGATACCCCCTATCCCAACCTGTGTTGTCTAGGATTTCAAATGTCCTATCAGGAACAGAAATTTTCGAAAAAAGATTTCTTGGATGAAGATCAAATTGCAAAATTTTTTGCAAACTTACATCCTTACGAGCTTTGTTGAACAAAAATTTTAGGGACCTGAGGTCCTAAAGAATCTAGTCAAACCAAAAATTTCAAAAAAAAAATTCAAAAAATCAAAAGTTTCAGAATTCTAACCGAGCTACTATCGAAATACGACCGCAATTTGGTGCCAAAAATGAAGGGAGTAGATGTCGATGTGGAATTATTGATTCAGCGAGTTTCAGAAATTTCTGAAATCCAATCCAGCTCGACAATGCACATTTTGTTCAGTCAGATTTGGCACGATCCGGGTTTATCGTTTGAGGTGCGTCTAAAAGCTTGGGATTTGAGAGGAGAATTTCGAAAATACAAAAAGTGAATTTGGCTCAAAAAGAGCTTCAACATGAGTATAAACATGACAAGGTAATCGAAACTATGGTTTTTGAAATTTTGAAAACAATTTTTTTTTTTTGAAAATTCGATCATTTTCTTATTCAGCAATATTCTTATTAAGAGAGATCCTCACTAATAGAGCTTCTCACTAAGAAAAGTTCTCACTAAGAAATCCTAATTATGTTATGAGAGAGAGAGAGCCTCACTAAGAGAGTCTCACCCATTCTTATTAAGAAAGATCCTTGTTAAGAAGTATCCTTATTAAGAGAGATCCTCACTAAGAAAAATTCTTACTGACAAAGATTCTCACTAGACAAAATCCTTATTAAGAGAGATTCTTACTAAGAAAAATCGTCACTAAGAAAGACCCACTGAGAAAGGTTCTCACTAAGAACATTTCTAATGTAAAGAGAGAAAGAGAGAGAGAGAGAGAGAGAGAGAGAGAGAGAGAGAATCTCACTAAGAAAAATCCTCACAATACAAATCCAGAAACTTCTTTTTTTCCAGCACGAAGAAGGCGCTCACTGTCTAACAAATCTCTCACTTTCGCATCGTATGGTCGACAATATCTGGCTGCCAAACGTCTGTATCGTAAACTCCAAAGGCTCCGCAATTCACAAATCGCCAACACCCAACATTTTTTTGGCCATTTTTCCAAATGGTACCGTATGGATGAACTATCGGGTTGTGGTTGAGTCCCCATGTGAAATGGATTTCTCGTTTTTTCCCATGGATCGTGTCATGTGTACTACCATCTTTGAGAGTTATGCATTCAATGTTGGAAAGGTGAGTTTTTGAGTTTAAAGGGAAAATTTGTCAATTTTCAGATTCCACAAAATAGGGTTTATAACTTTTTTAATTTGTCTGAAAATTTCAGAATATATTAAACAAAACTACAGCTTTAATTTTGTAGTTGACACTTTTTTCGGAAAATTGAGTCCTCAGGAGATATGCCGCATGGAAAGCAGATAGCACCATTTGAGTCGCCACCACTTATAGTCAATTTCAGAGGGTCGAAAAAGCGCTTGTTGGTTTTTCAATGTGTCTGAAAATTTCAGTATATACTAAACAAAACTAGAGCTTCATTTTTGTAGTCGGCGATTTTTCGGTTAAACAAGGCCCTGAGGAGATATGCCACGTGGAAGAAGGCACCCCCTTTGGAGAGGCGCCACCCCCTTTTTTTCCGGAGGGAGGTGGTGGCGCCTTCTTCAACTAGGCATATCTCCTCAAGACTCAATTTTCAGAAAAAAGTGTCAACTACAAAAATGAAGCTCTTGTTTTGTTTTATGTATTCTGAAATTTTCAGAGAGATTGAAAAATTCTAGCGTTATTTTTTTCAGGGCTTCAAAATTGACTGTTTCTCACTGAAAAAAAATCTGTAGAAAATGGTCAATTTTAAAGCTTTGAAAAAGTAGTCC